GTTTTGCGTTTGGCAGTATGTTTGTTTCAGGTGTTGATGGTGATGTTTCTTTTTGAGTTGTGATTTAGGCTGTGCTTGTTGGTTTTTGAGTTGTGATGGGGGCTGTGCTTGCTGGTCTGTTGGTGGAGTTTAGCTCTTTTGCAAAGTTCTCGGGGGTGCATTGTATGCAGAAGAACTCAACGTAATAAAATTTGCTGCTCGCTACATGAGACATGGATGTAATCTTTGCAAATGACACACCATATGCCTTTTTTTTGGAGGTGGCGTCTACAAATATGGCAGTGCGTTTGATCGGCCATAATTTGGCAGCGAGGAGGGTAAATTTATGGTGAATATCTACAAGTTAGCTGAGTGAGCAACAAACTGAAAATTTTATTACCATAAAAAGAAAATTGAATACCATCTTTACAAAACATATAAGCACTAAAACTAACATTTAGATTAGGTGAAATAATTCGGATTTTTGAGTTGTAAAATGTATTAGTAAGGCGAAACAAAGAGTTATTTAGAGCACCAAGTTTTCTGTTTGTGAAGTGATTGTTTGCAGAGAGGATGGTTTTGGGGATAATTAGCACATTAGGGACAAACTTATGAATTATCAATTTTATTAAAAATCTCCAATCATTAGCAAAGTCTGAAACTGTAGATGAGTTATCATTAAATCCGGCTACTATAGTAACACAGTTCAGTTTCTGCGAGGTATAGCGCGAGACAGTAGCGGCAAGGTCGGCTAGCTTTGCACCTCTGTACGAGTGAACCGTGGCTCCGACATCTTTAGCGCTGCCGTACTTGGTCCTTGAGGTTCCTATTACTAGTTTCCTGCTCCACTTGGGTAGCAACTTCGGCCTGTACTTCGTCACGGACATTCACTAAACAGGGTACAATAAAGAGAAAACAAGAGAAAGAATAGATTGTAAAATGGTTTGTAGAGAGTTGGATTTGAAAAACAAATACCAAAAAGAAATGAAAGCGATTACAACCTGGTCTTTCAGGGTTGGAGGTTCCGTGGGGATGTCAATTTTCCTTCAGAGCGGCGGCAGGTAAATATGCAGACCTGTGTATCGACCCCATAAAAATTTTAGTTGGGACTGAGCTTATCGATAGGATCAATTTTCCTTACTGAGGGTGTGACAGCTGAGTTTGTAATGTGATGACCTATCAATTCTTATTCCTTTTTTGCAAGTCTACTTTTCTACAAGTTCAGGACCATGATCTCTTTATCATGTTTTTTTCCAGAATTTTCTCGACCAGTGCGATGTGTTCGATTTTGCATCCTTTCGATTTAACTAAGATATCGCCGATGAAGACGTGGGCAGACGATAATTTATGTAGGATAGGGACCAATCATTGATGGACGGCAGCCTCAAATCACGTTAATTGACGCATGGATCGTTCCTCCATTGGAGCGAAGTGTTGCGGTCATCTTCCCTATCAGCTTCAATAAATTGTTTTCTTAATCCCTGAATAAATTGTCCTCAGGATCTATCGGCTGGAGCTATACACCCTGCTCTACGTTTAAGTTCTCCAAGTGTAAAAAGTAAAATTTCATAATGACGATCTGCTCTCGATCCAAACTTGGATGGATTTCCCCTTAATCTTAAGCGCTAAACTTGCACCAGCTACCCTCAGTTCTTCTTCCTTTTTCTTAATTGACACAAAGATGTAATCATTCGAGCTATCCGGATCCTAACCGTTGGATACTTCATGTCAGTCGTTTACCCATCCGTCGGAGCTTTCGTATTAAGACGTTCTCTCGCCCTGGTCTTGGTAAGTATCTTCCTCCGTCCACTTTCGGCCTCTACATGTGCTCTCATAGTTCCTTTTTTTACAAAATTTTTGCCGGCGCCTCTCAATATTTTCTGTCTTAAACCCGCTCTGATCGCAATTGAAACACTTCCGTTCCCTACTGCCGCGTTTTTTTCCTCTAAATGACCCCCATGTCCGCCCCGCTGGAAGAGTCTACGATATCCACTTTGGATTGCGCTCACTGGCTCCGTTTTTATCTGTAACGCTCCCACCGGCGCCGTATCTAGCCCCTCACTTGATACTTTGTATTTCTTGTACTATTTGCGCCCTCGTTCATATGATAGCGCAATTCGGTAAAACTCATTCGGGGTTTTGGTAGATGGCCATAGCTACGTTTGCACCTCTTTGTTTGCAATGGTAACGATGAATATAACTAGTAGTATCCTACGATCCAGTGTTCCCAAATCGCACCGAGCTGCAAATCCGTTGAGTAAGGAATGTTATTTTCCAACGTCTCGCCGTCCCCCAAGATACGTTTAGGAAAAGTAATCCTTTTGTTTTCTCGTCTGAAAGGCAGCCAATGGCGGCAGATATTTTGCCTGTACTCATTAGTTTATCGATTTGCTTAACTTCCTCGTTTACTTCGGACTTCTTCCGTTCTGGATGTCTAATTTGGAGAAGATCGTCTAATAGGTCCATGAAGTTTTGCGGCGGTTTAGTGTTTTAGAATTTGATCCGTTTGTTTCTGATTTAGTTTTGGGGAGCAGCAGATTTGGGAGAGTCATTGCTGTTTTCATTGCGACGTTAGAATTTGTGTTGCTTCTACTAATGAGAACAGCTGCTGGTTCAGTAATTCTATGAATTGGAAACCGGGCTTGTTCTTGCTTAGATTTATGAAGCGCGGCTTCCAGCTAACGACTTTTTTTATATGTCGTTTTTTTATTTTCAAGTTCTTGGTCGATAAATTTCCAGTGATCGAAGGGGCTGTAAAAGTTGCTGGGGGTGATGGATAAATTGTTTTGCGTTTGGCAGTATGTTTGTTTCAGGTGTTGATGGTGGTGTTTCTTTTTGAGTTGTGATTTAGGCTGTGCTTGTTGGTTTTTGAGTTGTGATGGGGGCTGTGCTTGCTGGTCTGTTGGTGGAGTTTAGCTCTTTTGCAAAGTTCTCGGGGGTGCATTGTATGCAGAAGAACTCAACGTAATAAAATTTGCTGCTCGCTACATGAGACATGGATGTAATCTTTGCAAATGACACACCATATGCCTTCTTTTTGGAGGTGGCGTCTACAAATATGGCAGTGCGTTTGATCGGCCATAATTTGGCAGCGAGGAGGGTAAATTTATGGTGAATATCTACAAGTTAGCTGAGTGAGCAACAAACTGAAAATTTTATTACCATAAAAAGAAAATTGAATACCATCTTTACAAAACATATAAGCACTAAAACTAACATTTAGATTGGGTGAAATAATTCGGATTTTTGAGTTGTAAAATGTATTAGTAAGGCGATACAAAGAGTTATTTAGAGCACCAAGTTTTCTGTTTGTGAAGTGATTGTTTGCAGAGAGGATGGTTTTGGGGATAATTAGCACATTAGGGACAAACTTATGAATTATCAATTTTATTAAAAACCTCCAATCATTAGCAAAGTCTGAAACGGTAGATGAGTTATCATTAAATCCGGCTACTATAGTAACACAGTTCAGTTTCTGCGAGGTATAGCGCGAGACAGTAGCGGCAAGGTCGGCTAGCTTTGCACCTCTGTACGAGTGAACCGTGGCTCCGACATCTTTAGCGCTGCCGTACTTGGTCCTTGAGGTTCCTATTACTAGTTTCCTGCTCCACTTGGGTAGCAACTTCGGCCTGTACTTCGTCACGGACATTCACTAAACAGGGATCAATAAAGAGAAAACAAGAGAAAGAATAGATTGTAAAATGGTTTGTAGAGAGTTGGATTTGAAAAACAAATACCAAAAAGAAATGAAAGCGATTACAACCTGGTCTTTCAGGGTTGGAGGTTCCGTG